ACTTGAAATTGTCTCAATTGTCGGCATGGGTGGCATCGGTAAGACTTCACTTGCTCACAAAATTTACATTGATAAATATATTGTGCATCATTTTCACATTCGTGCTTGGCTCACTGTGTCTCAAGATTATAGTGTGCGAGAAATCCTACTAGGCCTCTTAGATTCCATGAAAATACAAACTGATGGGAGGAGTGAAAAAAGAATTGATCAATTAGGAGAACTTCTGTACAAGAAGCTAAAGGGTAGGCGGTATCTTTTTGTAATCGATGATGTGTGGGATATCGAGGCCTGGGATAGTGTGAAAAGGTACTTTCCAGAAGACAAAACTGGAAGTCGAATCCTTTTAACTACTAGGCTTGAGAATGTGGCTAATTATATTAACTCTGGTTCTCCTCTTCATCATGTGCGCTTTCTTAACGACGAAGAAAGTTGGAAGTTATTTTGTCAGAAGGTGTTTGGAGAGGGTTTTTGCCCTCTTGAATTGGAAGAAATTGGCAAGAATATTGCCCAAAATTGTCGAGGACTTCCACTTGCAGTTGTTGTGATTGGGGGCCTCCTATCAAAGGCCACTAAAACACCACACTACTGGAGAAATATTGCAAAAAATTTAAGCTCAGAAATAAATTCAAATGATGAGCAATGCTCTAAAATACTTTCTTTAAGTTATAAACATTTGCCTCATCATTTGAAAGGGTGTTTCCTATATATGGGAATTTTTCCAGAAGATTTTGAAATCAAAGTCAGGGAGCTTACCAAGTTGTGGGTTGCAGAGGGAATCCTCAAATCAGCATGCTCTAAAACGCTAGAAGATGTAGGAGAGGAGTACTTTTTGGATCTTGTTCAAAGAAGTCTTATTTTGGCTCAAAAGAAGGGGTCCAATGGAAAAATTAAAACATGTAGAATTCATGACCTGTTACGGGACATTTGTGTCAGAGAAGCTCAAAAGGAGAAGTTTTTCCATGTCATGGAAGGGAGTCCTTGTGGTATTCAAGTAGGCACTAGTATGCGCCGTGTAAGTATTCATGATAAGAAGAATTTTGTAGCTTTTCAATTTTACTATGCGGCTAAAGGGACTCTCCATCGTGATGACAAAACACTATCTTCTTTCCCTGTAAAAATTCCTTTCCATTCCAGGCCACTTAAAGTACTGCAGATGAAGGGGACTCATATTTTTCCAGATGAAATGGTAGAGTTGGTTAACATGCGGTACCTATATTGCTACAATATACACCCACAACTGTACATTGCATCAATATATAAACTTCGGAATCTACAAACAATAGTTTGTCGATGGTATTGTGGGAAGGATATGGAACTACCACCAGAAATATGGAAGATGACACAATTAAGACATGTGAAGTTGAATGGCTTTGTACATCTTCCCGATCCTCCTATTTCAGAAATTAAGGAGGGGGGAAATTCTATTGTTGTTCTAGAAAATCTACAAACCCTCTGGACGATATATAATTTTATATGGACGGTGGAGGTCCTCGAAAGAATTCCAAATCTACAGAAATTGGCCATTCGATACGGTGGTATGGTGGCCGGTTGGGAAGAATATTGTATGAATAATCTTGTCTGTCTAACTAAACTTGAATCATTAAAATGTAGGCTTGCAGATACGTTCCCCCATTTCCTAGCGAGTATCACTTTTCCGACATCACTCAAAAAGTTGACGTTAGACGGCATGGGATTTCATTTCAAAGATTATCTCAAGCTTCATCCCGAAGAATTGACGATTCTTGGTAAGTTGCCCAATCTGGAAGTGCTGAAATTGAAACACTGTGACTTCAATGAACTAGAGTGGAAACCAAATGAAGGAGAATTTCCCGAATTGAAATTTCTACTGTTACACGACGTTAATCTGAAGCACTGGAGAGCTGACCGTATACACTACCCGGGACTCGAGCGCCTAGTCATTTCGATTACGGCTTGCAGAGAGCTGAATGAGATCCCTAGTGGTTTTGGGGAAATTTCAACTCTTCAATCCATCGAGTTGATTCAACTTGAGGATTTTGAGGAAATTTCAACCGTTTGTGATTCAATTGTTGAATCAGCGAAGAAAATAGAAGAGGAACAATTGAGCTGGGGAAACGATGCCTTCAAGTTATATATTACAGGATGGTAAATGTGCAGAGTTTCAAAATTGTCCATTCCAATTATTTTCAGGTACCATTTTCTTTTGTGAACCTTTCCATTTTTCGATTTTAGCTTTCTTGTCTTTCTCTACATTCTTAGTTCCTTTCCTCTGAATTTTGATACAGTCTCCGGTTCGAGATATGAGAGCTCCTTTTAAACCAACTTCAATGCAGGTCCTGCATTAAGAGTGCAAGCAATTAAGTTTCTCTAAAGTTTCCTGTAATGTCCCCTGAAGGAGGTTTTGCCTGTTTTCTCTGTAGGATCCAACACAGCCTTGTTAATTCATGTGGAAAGTAGTACGCAGAAAAATTATGTTTGGATGTGAATATAATTTTTAAAGAATTTTAATGTAATTAATGGAGACGGTTAGATTTTTACATATTTAAGGGTTTAGATTATTTGTCTAAAATGTTTGTCAAATGTATTTATAGGTGTTAAATAGCATTTCTTTACTCTTGTGAGAATTGTTTCCTTATCACAAGTTCCAATGTGTCCGTGATAACAATAAGAATAATTTTACTCCTACAAAGTTGGTGTACAAAAGTGGAGTGCTAAAGTGTGTTGACAAAATTTGAACCCTTAATTTCAAATGATTTAAAAATTTGTTTTTGAAATAATTGGTGTAGATTTGATTTTGTAACCTAATTTTGTAATCCCTTTTGTCATTGTAGCATAGCTCTAATAATAAATGCGGAAGTTCTATCGAAACACCTAATTTGCCCAATTATAGGGACAAATTGGGTCACATGCAGTCTGACTTGTTCAATTCGAGTCAAGTGGGCCTAATGAATTTTGCATTTGTTTGACGGATTTTTTGAGAAATGAACTTTTATAAGTGTCTTTTGATGAAAGTGTGCTTAAAAATAAAGAAAATTTATGGAAAAATGTCATTTCATTGTCCATGTTTGTCTATGTTGTTTCTTCTCCTTTCCTCTCTCTTTATTTGTGGTTTTCACATGAATTTATTAATTGAAAAAATCATGATTCATTGTTATTGCCATTCTAGAGATTTACATTTTGTGTGCAGTACTATCATTGATAAATAATTAGGAATTACTCTATTGATGACAGTATCACAATAATCAATTTTTGCTTACAATTGTGAAGTATTTCAGATAATAATTTGATGACTAAACTGCTGATTATTTAAAATAATATTTTGATGATTGAACTATCGAGTATAGAGATAGTACGATTTAAAATTTTGTTTGGTTAATGTGTATTATAGTTTAAAATTTCATTTAGTAATTGAACTATTATAAATTCTCAAGTTTTCTCTTTTTGAAAATTAAATTGAAAACCTACATAAATTTTATAGTTTTCTTAAGACAAGTAATATTTTTAAAGAACGAGGAGGTGATTATGTGGTATCAAGTTCCTAAATCAATCCATATGTCTAGAGCTATGGACTTGGAACTTGAATAATGACTGAACTTAAATTTAGACACGGACTAAACATAAAAATAAAAGTGGAAATTACAGAAAACTCTAGAGTTAAAATCTAGAGTTCTAAAACCAAATTTCAAATTTGCAATTTCATAAATCAGAACATTTACTAAATATATATAATTCACAAATCCCTAATTTTTCTCCACTTTCATGTCCCCCTCACCCCCCGACACTTCTTGCAGAAAACATCCATACGCTTCAATTTTTTTTGCATTGTCATCCCTATTTCCATGTTTTATTGCAGAAGACATCATTTTTCACCAATTTGAAACGTAGGAACGTTTTTCACAATATAGGCCAAACGTAGGGACGTTTTGTGCTATTAGGCCTTTAATAATTATTTGGACTCACTTACACTTTTTAAAACATTTAGGAGTAAGATTGTAATTTATTCTTTATATTTCTTTCTCTTTTTTTTGGCTTTATTTAAATGGGAGGGTATTTTGGTCATTTTCATTAAAAAATGGTGAAAATGACGTTTTCCGCAAGAAAATGTGGAAATAAGGGCAAAAATGCTAAAAATAAAAGGTGGGGACGTTTTCCACAATAAACCCTAAAGGTATGGACGTTTTGTGCTAATAAACCTTTTTTGTTTGATTAGAGAGTGGACCTAATCTTGCTCATCATGTTGAGGTCGTACATTTAAAATATTTTCATTAGTATCATGCGTTTTCTAAACTCATCAAAGTTGTAGTCATTACTTACATATGTCCTATTTGTCACTACAACAATTCAAAAATCTAACAAAAGCTAGCAAGGTAAACATTATTCAACAATGCAACCTTAATTTAGTAGTAAGCCAACAAGGCAACAACTATCCAATAATTTCATTTCAATTTAACCTATTAACAATACCCGTAAGAAAACAGTGACAACAAGCATAATACTTGCTAAAACGTGCTCATGTAAACAAGCAATTTAAAATCGAGTGTGAAATGATCAGACAGTCCAATGAGCACTATGAAAATTATATATATATATACATATTTTTTTTTTTTTTGGGAAAAAAATAGCATAAGTATAAATCATAAGATTATAAGTTAATGCGTATACTAGTTTAGCCCTTTGGATCAGCCCATATTTTGATCCAACTTTAGGTATTCCAAACCTATAACAAACCAATTTTAGGATTCTCTTTACATTAATTTTCTTCAAGTATTTTTCAACATCATCATCATCATTATTATTTTGGGAGATTTACTTGTACGTTTTTTTTTTTTATTTCTTCCTAATCAGTTAATGTTTATTTTCACAGCCACCGCTACCCCTCGCCCCCAAAAAGATTTTACTACTCTATCTACTGAAATTGAATATTTATAACTAGTCAATTTTAACGAAATCTGCCTCTCATGAAAAGAATTATTAAATAGTCTTTCAGTCGAGCAAATTGCTGCATTGTCATTTATTAAAATGTTATCTAGATAGAAAAACTAGAGTGTCTAGAAACTCTAATCATTTTATTTAGTTTGTCGAGAATGTCTAGATCATTCGAAATGCGTACAAAAATGAAGGGAGAGTTTTAAATAGACTCAAAATTATTGTCAACTTTATCTAACTCGATGACAATACCCGGATAATTCGAAATTCATGCAGTATTTTTTTTTCCTTATCTAAAAGTGCCATTATTTATAAACGAAGCAAAATTCAATTTCTTATACCAAAAAGTTTCGTACCTGAAAATTTTTCTCTTTCCTAAAATTAGAAATGTCGAAAGAAAGTGTACATAGGTAATTTTAGCAGCTTTTTCTTTTTAGCCCTTATTGGCAGGGATTAAAAATCTCAAATTTAATTTAAGTCAAAGTCAACAATTAATTTTAATTAAATATTTGATCGGGCTTATAACTTTTTAACCATACACTTCACCTCAATTTGGTGGGGATTAAAATCAAATTTTAGTAAATTTTGATAAAAGTTTATGAAATGTGCTGTTAAAAAGTTGTAAGTCATGTGAAATATATAATTAAAATTAATTATTAACTTTAATTTTGATTAAAATATAGATTTTAATTCCAACAATTAAAATTTTTATCTATTTTTTGTCAAAATCTACTAAAATTTTAATTTTCATCTCCATCAAATAGTTGCTTACAACTTTTTGACAGAAGGTCACAAAACGTGAGTCTCTTGATGCGCAAAGAACAATGAAGAGTGCTTCCTCCTTTAATAGGGAAAAGCTGTTTGAACACGACCATGTTAGCCCTGTTTGAATAGGGGCCGATGGGCGCCTCTTGGACATGGCCTTGTTCATTTAGTACAACCCATTTTAATAAGATGAATTAGCACAAAACATTGCCACCTTTCAATATTTTTGTGCAAAATATCCATATCTTTCATTTTTATTTTTGTTTTTTGACAATTTCATCATCTCTTTCATCTTTCATTGCGAAAAATGTCATTCCATCCACTCAGCGTCAAATGCTCCATTAACTCAACAAAAAAGGCTAATCAGCATGAAACATCCCAACCTTTTCAATATTTTTGTGCAAAACATCCATACCTTTCTTTTTACAAAGGTATGGATGTTCATGACAAAAAAATGAGAACCAGCGACCAATAAAAAGTGTTCGCTGATGTGTACAATCACTGACCACAAATGGTTAGTACAAGGGGTGGTCTGCTAAAATTGGACTATTTTTTGTTGTTCTCTTTTGTGACCAAACAGTGGTCGTTGATAACTATTTTTTGCGACCAATTAGTGCTGTTTGCTGAATATTTGGTTATTGAATATTTAGCGACCCAATTCAGTGCTGTCGCTGGAAAACTCGGTGCCGATCCTCCTGCTAATTTTTGCAACTTTTTCCATTATTCTGTGACCAATTTGTTTGCTCGCTAGTTGGTTCAAGGTTCCAACGACCAAGGTTTGATCCCTGGTTGCATGGTTCCAGTGACCAAATTGCGATTGGTCGCTAGAACTCTTGGCGCTAATCCTCTCGCTTATTTTTGCAGTTTTTTCACTTCCTTTTCCGACCAAATAGTTTGGTCATTGGTTGTTCAGGGTCAGTGACCAAGGTTTGGTTGGTCGCTGGTTGCATGGTTCCAGCAACCAATGCAGATAGGTCGCTGGAACTCTTGACGCCAATCCTCCTGTTATTTTTACAACTTTTTCGCATCATTTTGCGACCAAATAGTTTGGTCGTCGATTGGGTTAAGGTTCCAGCGACCAATAGTTGGTCGCTGGTTGGTATCTTTCTGCAACCAAAGTCGTTTGGTTGTTGGAATACTTAGCGCCATTATTCTCACTTCTTTTTTCAAATTTTTAATTCTATAACGACTATACTATGGTTGTTAGAACACTTAATGCTATTATTCTCAATTAATTTCAAGTTTTTTGGTACTTCTAGGACCATTGTACTTGATTCGTTACCACTTGGTCTTAAAGCTCAAGGTCTTAAAATTGAAGGTCCATTGGAGCCCCATTTTTAGCGTAAAATTACATTTTGGAATAATGGATTGATGGAGAATTGTTGGTTAAATATGAAGGAAAAGTTTTTGTGTTACGTGTAATATTATGTTATTGAATAATTTGTGGTTGAAAGGAAGAGAGACAAAAATGTATTTTGGAAAAAATGGAGATTAAACAAGTACTGATTCTGTACATATTGTCGATGTATAAAAAATCTTATTTAGTTTATTACATGTGTAGATGTAATTTAAATGAGAAAATATAATAGTAGCCTATTACGTGTTTATATACTTTAAACATTTTTATGGAATTTCAAAGTTATGTTCTATATATATTTGGTTGTGATAACTACGGATGACAGATGACTAGATGAAACCAACCAACTAGAAGAAGAAATAATTCAGTAAACACAACTAGAAAAGGACGATTAGGGCGTATTTGGATTTTGAAGTTGATGATTCCCTAAATTCGGAGGATCATGAGCGAAGTATTTATGAGTGTTGGGACACAGCTAAGAATGCAAGCTATTAATTAGCGATCGACTGCCCATTTGACATCTCTCGCATACTATAGCACTGTGCGAAGAGTATATTGGCAAGCTTTT